CGAAGGTTGTTTGGTATCGTGTTCAGATCACGTCGGATGGTCACCACTGTGGCCGTGGTAGGAAAATGGGAGATCTCCCGCCAGGTAAGGTGTTCCGCCCGGGGAGCGGCCGACACTCCATGTGATAGTTCGGAGAAGTTCTATATATACTGTCTATGATTCGGAATGTTAATAGCGCGATTTAGGCTTCTGTGTGTTTCGGTGTGCTAGTGGCGCGACGACAGCGCCACTACACCCTTACACTTCATTAACACCATCCTTACCATTTCCCAAAACTGCTCTCGGATATAAGTGGGCTTAGACATGTCTGGGGCGTAGATCCCTAGCACAAACAACTTCTTTATACCCACTTTCATTCGTATCCATAGCAGTCTCGGGCTTACACATTCATACTCTTTCACACATTGGCCCATTCTTTCTGAAAGGATGATACCTACAACCTGGCATGCCCGCTCGATCTCGTCTACACCAGTCCAGTATGCGGTATACATGCCATGTGCAGTGACATCCTTCCCCTTCCTTTTCGTCTCATTTACACATAATACATCTATTCCTCTATCATACATCATATCGCATACTTCATCCATTTTATCATTCATTGCCCCACATACATTAAACGATGTGGTGGGTGGCGAACCTCGTCGCCGGTTTTCCTCCCGGAGATTCTTCGCACCCCTGCCCCATTCAAGGGGCGCCGGGAACTGGGGGCCATTTCTTTTCTTTGGTTCCTCATGGGCCGATATATGGGGTAGTATATTTTACGCCGCTACCACGGCGTGGAGCCGAGTCTGTGGTATCGGCTTGTCGCTCATTTAGCACCACCCGGGGGACACGTGTAGGGTGGACCTAGGAATAGGTGGTCAAAGCCTACGGACGCGAACGACTTATCCCAAGAAATATATGTATGTAATAGTATTTATTCCGACGACAAAAATATTCGTCATCATGATAAGAAGCTAAAAAGATGGGTCAAGGCTTGTTAAAGAGAACAATAAGTAAAATTACGAACTGAATTATTTTGTAATGAATAATTCTTCAGTACATATAAACGAAATAGAAATTATTTCAGAAGTAGTTTACTAATTTTAATAATTGTTTTAGATTTTAAATAATTAACATTTAAACTATTACTGCAATATGTAGGTATCTACTTAGGTGCTCGCAGCAAGTAAGTAACAGGACACCGCCACTTGTCCCCATTCCTGACTCGCGTCACAGTGTCACGTCGCTTGGCCCGGCTCAGCGATATGCTGCGGGACCCAGTTACCCAGCCACTTATAATTTACTACCAAACGTCAGATACTCACGACTACTATTTAAGTTACAACGATAGACAATTTTCTAGGATCCCCTTGATTTCTTTAAATATTTTTACATGTAACTAGCGATCCGCCCCGGCTTCGCACGGATGATTTCTGGATCTCGATAACAGCGCCACCTACCGCGTCCAATCGTAAATCTAAACTATCCGGGGTTCACACAAAAATTTCTTCAAAATATATTTTCGAGTTTTAGCGAGACGTCTAAAAATTATATAAGTACATATTATCAAGCTATTTATAGCATGTAGTAATTATTGATCGTATGCATCATACGATATTAGTTTGAAATTTATGATATTCTAAACGTTTGTTTTATTATTCGACTGGCGACTGAATACAATGAACATGGATAATTCAATCATTGACTCAGACGCTTCCGATATTTATACAGACTATTAAAATCGTCTGTAACTCTGCGCTGTGCCCAATGCCCATGCCCAAATCTGGATAAACAATATGTGATCGGCATTAGACAGTCACTATTGATAATAATCTTGGTCGTGTGTGAGCGCCCGACGCCGAAGGTTGCTTAGTTACTTGTTGCATTAGTACAATACATACAGATATACCGAGTTATTCATTCATTGAAAAAACACGTAGACAAGTTTGGCATACATGAGAATTTACAAAATAATACGAGTAAAGAAACGGACATATATTTAGACCACACAATTTGTTGCAATATTCATGTAAATAAGTAGAATTACGTTAATTGAGAATATAATGAGTTTATTTAACAATAATTAGCGATCCGCGCAGACTTGGCACGGGTGAATTTTGTATCTCGACAACACCGCCCACTAACTCAAATACACACAAAAGACTTTATCAAAGATCCATCATATATCAAAGGTCCATGCAGACTAACGGATAGCTATTGATTTTCATATATAGAGATTATTACAAGTAAGAATTATTGAAAACCATTTACGCTTTTACCACTGGTTTGGAAAAAAAACCTTTGCGCTGGCAACTACAGAACCAGCAAGCAAAACCAACCAAGTCGTCAGACGTAAATAGTATATAGGCTGTAACTTTATGTTACTACTTTTTATTTGATACCAAATCAAATAGGTAGATCATATCTTCGTATTCCTTCGTATTAGTATAATAATGATCGAACTTCACGTCGGGGTAGATCGTTATATCATTTTTAAAATTGAGCGTATATACGTACATAATTCGCAGAATTATCGATTCAAAAGATCGTGTAGATGTGTATGGGCAGCAGCTACTATTGTCTCCGACTCATGAATAAATCAGCAGAAAATGGATGAATGGTAAGCACCTTACTGTGCTAATAGATCGTTGTCATCATTAGACGTGTTAAATTGTCAAACGTTGTCTTAAAATTATTTTAAATATAACAATGACAAACTAATACTAATGACATAAATAGATACATGACATGTCGCAGCCAACTAGCTTAATTAGTCTTTTAGTTAACAGCCTAGTTTTTTTACTAAACGGCCTGATATTAAGGTAATGCGTCTAATACAACATTGCACCTATCTTGTAATACCAGGGACAGTAGGTTCAAGTGCGGCGAATGTGGCCCTTGGACCACCCTAAAGCCGTGTTAAAAGTTACAGCCTATACGTATATAGGCTGTAACTTTTTGTGGGACGTATCCCACAGCTGGGCACAGGCCTCCTCTCATTTCTGTGAGGCTTATAGGCAATGAAATGTCGCTGCGTTGCCCAAATGCGTGTTGGCGAATTTCACGTGTCTTCGGAATATTATTTTATTTTTCAGACGTGCAGGTTTCCTCACGATGTTTTCCTTCACCACCGAGCACGTAAAGGAAATCAGCACACAAAATTGCTCTAAAAGTTAAAATTACACCTAAAACCACGTAAATTTGTTTAATATAGCACGTACTCGTAGCGCATAATAAGACGCAGACCAGCGATATTACGTGTCATGGTCAATTAAGCGAATACCGAAGTTTCTTTTATTTTTGGGGATAATCTATTTATTATCTCTGTAACTGCCGTAGTTAAATATAACTGTTCTCTATTTTGGATAAAGTTGTTCAAAACGACTATAAATCAATAGCACGCTACAGACTAAAACTATAAATTTCTAGCGCGCTATTAAATGCGCTATGTTATAGCGCGCTATTTATAAGAAAGCGTGTAGGAGGCCGGCAAGCGCGTTAAGTATTGCAGCACGCTATATCTGGTAGCACGTTACATTACATGTCGTTCATTGGATAGACCGCGTGCTATACAAGAACATTATTTCGTAATAAGTCACATTTTAGACTAAAACAAAATAAAGCGGCAAAGAAAAATCAATGAACGCTTTTTCATACTTTTGAGGCTTACGACTTTCTATAATCCTAAAAATATTTTTAAGCCATGCACTTTTTAAAACGAAATAAAATTAATTATTTTTTATCTTAATTGATGTAAACGTTATTTTAACCTTAATTATAAATCAAATAAATGAGTAAGTTTATTGATTGTATTTAACGTCTAACACTAAATTAGGTCGCGCGCGATGAATAGCGTGCTACTAGATCAAATTTGCGTCACACGTCCTTTCCCAACAGCGCTGCTGCTAGAACTAGTTGCCGCTAGATATTAATACTTCATAGCGCCAAAGCGCCATAGCGCAATAGCGCCATGGCGACTACTTACATAGCACGCGCTATGTGTTATGGAGAGATAGCGCGCTATAATATGGCGCTATGCGCTATATTAACCATCATTAGTTTTGGAGAAGGAGGATCTTGTTTCAAATTTACTGTTTTACAACACTTCCGAACCAACTCACAAGTTATCAAGCAAATAATCAGGCTGCAGTAACTGAACTTTCATCCTCCAGCATACGTCGTATTTAACCTGTCGATCGATGTTATCGTATTAAATAATTATAGTCGTTCTGCATCCGTAACTTATCGTACACGGTTGCATAAATATGTAAATGATGAGTGTTTGTAACGTTTGTGTTCGAGACGTCTGTATAATTATACTATATTGTGTAGGTATATGTAATATGTAAGTAAATGAACACCATATTATGTATTGAATAAAACTAGTACTATTATTTATTATTTATTCTGTGATAAACTAACTTTACGGTTTTTGTCGCATTTAATTATAACTTTTTTAATTCCCAACGTTTCGGCACTACAGTAGCCATGGTCACGGGAGAGGGGGGGGGGGGGACTGAGTCCATGCAGTTTTCAGTGTGTAGTATTTGCGTAAATATAAGAATTCATATCATGTACCTATGTATTTGTCAATATCATTAAATATGACATGCGTCTCTGATTGGAAAATGCAGTATCTACTGTCCATCATTTTGTGGTTCAGCATCATAGGTCACAGATTCTAGGCAAAGGCCACGGATAGGGTCGGGGATGTTTGATGAGCACCTTCCGCCTTCCCCTAAGTTGCATTCCTCTCAACAGTCCCATATAACATCCTTTTCCAATTACAACATTCCCGTCACCACTAATCCCAACACCACTACACTAGGAAGATACATATATTTCGCCCCTAATCGAGGCATTATCAGGTGAAATACTGACTGCTATGGTTGACCGCAATAGTGAGCAGCGAGCCAAAACAGCTGATCTTGAAGTTATGCGGCTCTATATAATATTTAGAAAAGTAATTATTCAAATAATTTTATATAGTAACGTAACATGTATGTTACGTGTTGCAGGTCAGCGATGGGCATGGGGTACGCGGGCGTGGGCTTGCAGCACTCGCGGTCCGCAGTGCTGCAGGCGCAGGTGCCGCCGCACTACCGGCCCGTGCTGCCGCCGCACGCGCTGCTCAACAGCACCTCCAGCGGCAACGTGCCGCACGTCGCGGTCAGTGTTACTAGTGATAGAATGTAATATAGTGCTGTAGCCCGTACGACATAATTATATATTAGAGTTAAGTTTGGATTAAGGAGTAGTCTAATGAAAGCCATAGAACCAACAACACCTCTCTTTCATATACACCCTTTCCTACATTACATGGCAACCCTGGCAAGATACTCCTTGTTCTAAATTTAACTGTAAATTTGGGTCTACCCTACACTTACCACCACAACCACACCACATCGCAGCGAGAAAATGTGGTCAAGTGTGAATAGTGTCGCTGCAGCTCTTTGCAGTTGCGTATCAATGTAAATTATTGTATTATTCAATTCCAATACAAAATGCACCCGCCCACATGTTGTAGTTATAGTACGTGTGGGTTGGCCCTAATATAAAATTATGTCGTATGGACTACAAAACTACAATACATGAACAGCATTGACACGATTGACAAATTCAACAGAAATAAACAGATTGATGTTCTGGCATGGAAGTTTTGCTTCACCGTGTAAATGTGGACTTAATATTGCAATACAATTGCTAAACAATTTAACTGCCGTTTTCTGTCGGCACTAAGTGAAAAGACTTCTTTTCTGCCTAGGAGTCAATTTGTTAGGTACCACCATCCTCTTACCAATTTTTACAAGCATATAACAGTACCTGTACTGCCGAGTTCTGTTCTGAAAGGTATATAGTCCTCACAGTGTACCCTTGTACGATATGTTATCGCTATACGAGGACGTCTACCTTTCATATTTTTTTATAGGTTTAAGGGCGATAAACGAGTACACAGTCCACCTATAAACAATACCAATAAACATCTAAATCTATCCTCGATTACGAATAAAAATGCAGATGCATTGTCACCCCTGAGGACTAAGATGGAATGCCTCATCATCATCATTCCAATAACAAACCACTGTGCACATCCGTTACAACCTATCAAAAGTCCATTGCAGAACGACATTCCCTATAGACTGCCGAATAGTGGGGACGTTTGCCGTAGTTGCTACGCTTGGCTGGCGGGTTGGTACCCACAGTTTTCTATCCCATGATCATATATGAGCAATTCTATTGTTTAACTATTGTGTCTATTTCGTGGACAGTAAAACGGTTACGTAGACGCTGCTGCCCGTTTATTTTTTAACGATATCAATGAAGGCGGCTGCGAGCACCTAAACGTGTGACGTCACAGGCTGAATGATGATGATGATAATGAATTGGTTAAAAGTTATCAAATTTCAAAACTACAAGATAAATATTTAAAGAATGGCTTAGGCCCTATCTTCTTGTCTCTTTATCAGAGAATTGGGTAAGATAATGGTGGGTACCATTATCTTACCCAATTCTCTTTTGTCGGATCTGACAAAAAAACTGGCGATGCCGGCAATGTATATGCGACCTGTGAACTAATTATACCATAAGTTTCGGTGTTTAACCTTTAGATGTTATATCCGTTTTTTATGATTATATCCGATTATCTTAATATATATAAATTACGTGTCACATTGTCCGAAATGGACTCCTAAACTACTTAACCGATTTTAATCAAATTTGCACACCGTGTGCAGTTTGGTCCAACTTGAGAGATAGGATAGTTTTTTGCCCATGAGTTACCCACAATTTTTTTTGCGTATTTCATGATTTTTAATAGGACATGACAAAGGGTCTGCCTGGTAAGCTAGTATATTATATTATAAAAGTGTACTGTATCAATATATAATGTGTTTGGTCATATGATTGCGTGTATTTTACTTTGGTAGTATCCAGACAGAGAGAAAAAGTGGGAGAAAAAATAGAGAAAGAGAGAGATGATGCATTGAAAAATCTCTCTGTAAAAAGAGACACATGCATTTCATAGATTTATTGTGAACTTTGAGTTAATTTGCAATCCTAATTTTACACAGGAGATTTTACCGTAACAATAGCAACTTTACTACTTTAACGTTGCCTATAATATAATATACTTCCGAAACTTACGAAACAAAATGTATTCCATTAACGAAGCCAAAATCGCAATTTCACAGAGCGGCCCGCGAGTGCACTTCAAACTTCAACCGCAGCAACTCGGCGAGAAAAAGAAGTCGCCGCCGTCGTCGCTGACAAACGGCAATGGCAAGAGCATCCGTCCGCAGTCGTTCACGCCCGGGCTCAAGCGCTCCAAGTCGCTGACGTCCGCGGACACGCTCGCCAGCGGTATGGCTGCACTCGGCCTCGCTGCGGATGCCGGCGACCTGGGTACATTTCCGCCGGAGATACAGGAGTGCATTGACAAGGCGTTGGACGGTAAGTCTAGCTAAAAGTCTAAAGTTCCTTATCTACTAAAACTCGCAACTCAGGAAAACCTAAACTAGCCTTACCTAAATACAACAATTTATATGGTAAACGTACCTTAGAATATATGATTCCTAACCTAATTAACCAGCTACCAGTATCAGTAAAATCAGAACTAAATCAAAAAAATATTAAATTAAAATTAAAAAATTACTTTACGGAATGCATTACTAATCATTTAAATTATACATAACATGTTTTTAACAATAAATACTACGATAACGCCCTAAAACAAACGTCCTGTATAAGATATAGGATCCATGCGCGGTGCATTGTGCAATAGAAGGTTGCGCAATTAACCAATAAATACTAAGTGTATTTCTTTTTTCTTACTACACCCTCATATTTGTTACTGTCGGTGATACCGGTACACGGTAAAGTTTCTATAAACTTATGATTGTATCGTAACGTAATGTGTAATTAATGAATGTAATAATATATTAAATAAATAAATAAATAAATAAAATACTAATGCTAATAATTTACATCTAAATTCGATTATGAATTAAATCAATTATAAAATCTAATATATAAACATAGAAAACATAAAATTTCACCCCTGGCACCCCACAGGGTTAAATTAGATCATTTTACCTAAAATCGATAACGAGGTGAATTGGGAGTTGCAATATTATCGTACGTTGCTAGATGCGTCCCATGCGTAACCGAATTGTAAATTTACATTTGGTAATTTTTTGTTCATAAACTACAGTCTACATTGACTTAGAACCTTAGACCATTCAACCCAATGGACGAGTAATGCGCCTAATGCTACGGAAAAAAAATCTGTCTCTTTTGGTGCTGGGAGGAAACACTACATAGACAGTACTGCACACCTACTCAATAAAATTCTATTTCATTATGGCACACACAAATCTAAATCTCCAACACTATTATATTTTACACACACATATAGGTTGAATACATCAACATAGAAAAAGTTACGAGTGTAAGACGGACAAATTAATTGCGATGCTACCTAGTTCTTAGATAGTTTCCCTAAGAAAAAGAGAAAAACTCACAAGCAATTAGCAAAATGCACTCAAACAATTAAAATCATCATAAACCAACTACGTGGTTGGTGATTGCTAATATTTTAGTGATAATTGGAAGTAGTATCATACTTCAATAACAAACGAGTTAATATGCCACTTGATGATAAACTGTACTCATCATCATTATTATCATCATTACAGTCTTTCACAAGTCTGGTGCTGAAAACAGGCCTCCTCCAAGTAATGTCACCAAGCATGGTATTGCGCCAGTTATATCAGTCCTTCCATCGAATGGGGGGAAGGGGATTCCCAGACTCACTTGCCAGTTATAGGCTGTCACCTTAACCTTTTTTCACCATATAACCTAAAGTATAAAATTAGTTATAGCCTATACACATCTCAAACGCGGCCACAGGCCCCTAATTTCTGAGAGGGTTATAGGGTAAGGAAATGCCTATCGCTCTGCTTACTGGTTGGTGGACTTCATATCTTTTAATTTTTTTTTAATTTCCGCCGATCATGTGACGAATAATCAGTTAAAACTGCAAACGACGAGGAACGAACTCGGGTTGTTGGCATATTCTATGAAAATTAATATTCAGGAAAAAGATATATTTCAGTTATCCTTAAGTAAAGGATGACTGTAAAATATATTTGTTCTGGCATTCCTAACTCGTTGAGCGTCTTACGTTTCGTTCGGGCTCATTAGCCCGAACGAAACGTAAGACGCTCAACGAGTTGACGTGGGCACCGGTAGATCCGAACTCTGTGGCGGCGCGCACGCTGATGGAGGCGGTGGGGCACCTGGTGGCGCGCGCGGTGGAGTCACCGCGCTACGCGCTGCCGGCCGCGCGCCGCTGCATCGCCGTCGTCGAGCGCGAGCACACCGAGACCTTCCTCGAGTCGCTGCTCAACACCTGCCAGCAGTGCTACCTCGACCGCGACAAGGTGAGCCGTGCACACGCACGCGCATGCCCACGTGCCGACACACAGCGCTCAAGTGGAGCTGGCATAAGAATACGCGTTTCGATTGATACATTATTTATAATATATACACAAATACACTTAAACTCACAATCGCATTCACTTGCACTGATAATCACACTGCCAAAGGTGCGTCAGGAAAGAAAAAAAGAGCAATTCACTTCTCACTGCCACAGTATCGACTTACCATTAGGTGGAAATTATGTCCGTTTGTAGTCCTTACTTGAATAAAAAAGTACCGACATATATGTGCATTTTTTTCTTATTGAATTGGTGTCCAACGAACTTAGTCTATCTGATGATAGGTGATTGCTGCATTCCATGGAAACCTGTCTGCAGGCTACTTCAAACTAAGATAGCTACAGATGCTACCTCTGAAGGCTAAGATGGAATGATTTCATAGCCCGTAATTATACTGGCATTCTATACTTTTAAGACTGGAACACAGCAGTGCTGTTTATTGGCATAAATAGCTAGGCCTCGTTTACATTTTGAGAAGTGACAAGTGCGAGTGGCAAGTGAGAAGAGACAAGTGCGTATTTTATTCCCACTTATCACTTGTCACTGCCCGTTCACACGCACTAAGCACTTGTTATTTGTCAGTTGCACTTGCCACTCACACTTGTCACTTCTCAAAATATAAACCGGGCCTTAAGAAGGTGTAAAATACCTTCTTAACTATTTATGCCAAGTAAATAATTACTCACACGAACTCCTGCCTATTAAACAAATGTTTGCACAACCATACATATAAATAAAATTAAAGTGTCTATCTATAATATAATATACCTAACTGGCTTCTATTAAATTACTAAGGCATAATATATATAGTCTGCTCGTCCTTAATGATTGAACCAATAGGGCATTTTGCACAACTTAAATACTTGATAGCTAAACGAGAAATGTTGATTTCTATTCATAAAATGCACTATAAATTTTATAATTCAATTTTTAGAATATTTTTTATATGAACCCCAAATCTCCAATACTCTACCCGCCAGAAAATTCCGTCGTGACGTTACTTTTATAGTAAACAGGCCAATGTGCTGTCTCTTATTTAAATATTTTTCTAGTTATTATCACGATTGTTGACATTTATTCCGTATTTCAATGAAATGGTATCATCGAAAACATTCGTAAATGCAAAAATTACCTACTAAACTACTAAGTATAAATACATTGATGATGATAAAATTTTTTGCATGCAAACTAGATTCTTGTTCTACCGCGTTTAGAAATGTTAAATCATCAGTAAAGTAAGTACATGTTACCAACTTTTGTATATACAGAACACAATACCATGTCAAAGTATGTTTATATAATACGTAGTAATGTTTATCTATGATTACAATCATTAGGAATCATTAATTATATCTAAGATAAACTAATCTATTACAAAATTTGACTTGCAATTCTTATCATCTTAAGATGATTTGTTTTGTATAAACGATTGTTTAATATATGTAAGTCATACTTACATCAAAGTGATCTTCACGGAATTGTAGTCTAGTTTTTGTGGACAATGTCTTCGGCTCTCTTCTTTTCAGTTTTAACCAAGTAATCCTCATATTTGAATCAGTTGGCACTTGAATTTATAAGGTCCTCGGTGTTTTTATGCTCGTATTTTTGCATTCAGGCATACTACACCAATAATAAAGATGATAACTCAATACTAAACATCCAAAAATATTTATCTTATTCCTTTGCAAAATCATTTCATTTACTAGGGCAGTGACGTCATGAGTTATTCAGTCTGACGGCTTGCGTTTTTACACTAAAGTTGAAAACGTTTAATTAAAAGTAATATTTATGGCATCATTCATTCGGTTTTCAAAAATATATATAAAAATTATAGTGGTTTCTTATAATACTAAGATTCATTTTAAACACTATTTGAAAATGGGTGTAATGCTCTATTGCAATAAAAGTGGTCGAATATATAAAAAGTTAGCTAAAAGGTATATCTATTCTATTTATTATTTAAAAAACTTGAAGACTTTTCGTTGATGCTAAATTGATAAAAATAAAAGGTTTTTGATTATCTTAAATCTAAATAATGTTACATTAATAGATCTCAGCTAGGGGAAGCCGGGGCGAGTCGCTAGTAACATTATATGTATGTGGGGGGTGCGTGTATGCGTATGTGCAGCTGCTAGGCGCGGTGGTGGGCGGCGGGCGGCCGCGGCTGATGGCGTTCCTGTCGTTCCTGCTGGAGATGTACTGCCAGCTGCGGCGCCGCGCCATTCAGCGCCGCGGCGCCAGCGCGCAGCCCGGCCACGTGCTGCTCACGCTCATCGCCAAGTGCTGCGAGGACTGCATCCGCCAGCCCGTGCCCTCGCCCAGCGACGTGAGTGCCAACCATCTAACCCTATCCCTACCCCTACTACTACCCCTAGCACTACCACTACCCTTACCTTTACCACTACTACTATCACTACCACTAACCCTACTCCTACATATACATTCTACATAATATGTCTCCTGCCTAGCCATTTGGGCTCAACAGCGCTCCAGCCTATTGCCAAAAGTCCACTGCTGAGCATACGGCTCCCTCATAGACGCCTCGTAAGCAATGCCTGTCCAATTTTAAATTTCTTTAAAGAATAAGAGTGACAAACGAGCACACATTCCATCTAATGGTAGGTGGATGCTGTAGCCCATATATACATATATACGTCTACGATTATCGTCGATTAAGTATAAAAATACAGAATCGTTGTCACCTCTGAGAACTAAGATGGAAAACCTTGTTTCCAGTTAAAAGAGTATTCGATCATCTACACTCATTATATGAAACATAGCAGCATTATGTTGCTATTTTACGTTGGTAATCTGTAAAAGCGTGGTCCTAACTCGGTCACGCCGACTTTACTAAATCATAATATAGCTGCAGTGTAGCTTTTCCACGTTTTGACATATTTGTCTGTGGAATATATTATACCACCATATCACTCCAATTTAACTTAAAGTAAACACTACTCTTCTTTGGTATGTCCCATAAAATAATATCGGAGTGCTCTGTGGCTGAATAATTTTATTAAAATTACTTAAAACCTTTTTGTCTGTTAATTAGTTTAGTTGCTTGTACTTGAAAAAAAAACTGTGAAAATCTTCAAAAAACATAAGCCTTTTCATATGATTTGTCATAAGGTCGCCAATCCACTTAGCAAGCGGGTTGGCACCGCAGTTTTATTTTATTTTAAGTTGTTATTAGGAAGGAACTGCTGCCCGTGTAGGTTGTTTGCCTTTGTCCTCTCTGACGGCACCCACGGAATGGATATTCTTACATCACCACTATACGGTCAGATTTGGACTCAATTTTTGTGGAGATACATTAATTTCGCATTGCGATTACGTTGAAACTTCATGGGCAGATAGAGAGCAACGACAGCATATTGATAAAGTAAGCATGTAAATACTATCATTAATTTAATTAACTCCACATTAATGAGTTCATATCCAGACGAACCTGGAGCGGGTCGCACGCGCACAACACAGTAAAAATTGAAGACATTATCAACATTGTTAAAATACAATATTGATATCTTTTGTAAAAATAAAATAGTGTAGTGACGGTAGCCTGTAGTTAAGGGGTTGCGAGAAAACCATACAAACTATGAAATAATGATTGTAACCGTTTCTCTGATACTGCTTTTTCGTCTTCAATCGTATCTCATTTAAGCGTTACACTATATATATTTTATCGTACACGCAGAAAATTTTCCGGTTTATTTTAAATTATTTTGATTCTCTATTAATAGATGCTGCAAAACACTCAATTTACTAGGTTTTAAAGTAATTTAATAATAAATTTCGACAGTAAAAATTGATTTTATTAAATGTGTAATATTTGCATGAATTTAAAAAGTGACTTAAGAAATTTCTGACGTGTCGAAAATTATCCAAAACACCGACATTTATTATAAATTATAAAGATTAGTTAAATGGTCATTTTGTTCTTAAATTAATTCGAATTCCTAATGAACAAGCAACCTTTAAAGTTTCGTCGCCATAGACTTATGGAAATAAGGTCTAACAAGTAGAACTCCACCCTAGGGTGGATATTCAGAAACACGTGTTCGTATCCACTCTAAGACGGGGTGGATAATTGGGATTTACTTTTTTATAGTTGTTCCGCCTTTCCATCCCAAGAACAGTTCAACAGTAAATAAATTCATACTTTATCATATTATTGATTAATTTGTAATAACCACAAACCTAAAAAAATCATTTTACATATTGCATTTAAACTAAATTAAACTTCCTAAATTTAAATGATAATAAGAAATTTATAAATTTTGCAATATGTCCAGGCTGACCAACACTAATTTCGTTTATTGAGTAGACGCAATTTTATATCCTTGATAAATTCGTCTATTTTAATATACACTTGCAATCGTTTTTGAAATTTCTATATTACAACAGATGTGTTAGCCGAAAAAATGGGTGTTTTTGCAAGTAATCCAAAAACTTTACTAAATTAGGATGTTTGTTCTTATCTTAATTTGAGATAGTTTTATGCCAAGATTCTAATGAATTTGTAGTTCTGTGAAGCACTACGAATGAATTGGTAGAAAATGCCATATGGCATTAAGTACGCCATTTGTACTTTTAGTATAATAAAGTGTATAAATAAATAAATAAATTTATATAGGATTCAATATATGAATCTAACAAAAAAAAAATAAGAAATACAAATTATTGCAATGTGTAAAGCGCATTTTTCAATCTAAATGACTCGTTTTAATTATTTTAATATAAAAGTGTCGCTCCAAAAACAATAATTAGAATAGTTTTGTTTGCGTTTTTTAATATATTTTTTAAAAGTATGAAATTTCAATATTTGATACGTATGAGGATTTTTCAAGCCAAATTACTTATTTCAGTTTATTTAATATAAAAAAGATTAATTGCAATAGTTTTGTTTATTTAAAGAGTGATTTAAATGTAAATATTGCAATGAATTTGTGGTGGTGCAGACAGAGAACCTGTTCTTCGTGCTGACGTACATCGGGCGTGACCTGGAGTCGCAGCTGCCGGGCGAGCTGGAGCGGCTGCTGGCGGCCGTGCGCGACGCGTTCCTCAACCCGGCCGCCGCGCCCTCCATCCGCCGCACGCTGCTGCAGCTCATCGAGCTGCACGCCTCGCGCTGGCAGCTGCCTGGCTGCGCCGTGCTCTACTACTACCCTTCCTCCAAGTAGTGTTCGCTCTGTCCGCTCTTTCCGGTGAGTGCACAGTACCGCTGTACTCGTGCTTCCGTCTTGTAAGAGTTGTCAAAATGTCCAACAAAAGCGATACAATATTGTGCGATGATGATATCAAATAAGTGTACTTACGTGATACCGCAATATATAATTGTATAGCGTGTAACCGCGAAATAACAACGCAGAATAGTGCGGCAGTAAAAACGATAATGCAAAGCTATGCAGCAATGTACGATGATAATATGAGTTAGGTGAACTTTCACATGATGCTGTAAAAAGTATTCGTAGATTGTGTCGCCTACAGTCGCGAAAATGACAACGTAAAGCGACGCAACATTGTGCGATGTTAATATCAGACAGGTGCGCTTACATATGATTATATATGTATAATGCGTAATTTATCACATGTAATGGCGCAGCCTCTTGTTAATTTCCATTGTTTGCCTATCGTAATGGGTAAAATCTTTGGTCAATGAAACTTGACGTTTATGTTCTGAGCCCCGACTTTATGATATAAAGAAGAGTATACTAGGACAATCAAATCAAAGTTACTTGTATTTAAATACACTCAAACACATATAAAAGTTATGATCCTAAAATAACTAACACAAACACTTTTTACACTCACTCCTTACAATAACCCAAACAATGCTACATACAGAATTTAGTGATTTACGTAGAACGTAATTATTTTTAATAAAGGAAAGTTTTAGAAGTGTAACTTCCGTACAGGTAGTTTACATTTATGTTGTATAAATATATAATGAGAATATAGAATATATAATGAGTTAAGATCATTAATATCTTATATGCATAATCAATTCTATTTACAACTTGTATAATAAACCTTTCTGAGCAGCTACATTTCAAAATCATACGTTTTTTTATTTTTTTATTGTTTATATAACAGTAGTATGTATCTTAGAGCAATAAGATAATTATTGAATGCATAGAAAATCTAGAAGTAAGCCTAGGAAGGAATACTGCATAATCTGCTAACAAAATGTTTTAAATACGATATTTATAGCATCCTATATAAACTTATCACAGTTGACTTCAATATACAGATATTATTTAGTCGTGTCATTCGGTTAGATCGGTACTGTAGTAATTGTTACGGAAGTTCCTCACATTTTTTACTTTTATAGCAATTTGTACGACTCCAGAAATATTGCATTAGAGGAAGGGTAGTAGTTTCTACAATGGTCGTTGCGCCTACGACTTTAGGTTAGATTATTTAGTATACAAAGGTTACAAGCATTTCTTATCGAGTGTTTGGTTTTGTTTGATTTTTTCTATTGTGACGTTGGTAGTGTGGCGTTAGTTGTTTAATGTCGATATAACTAAAACATATTAGATGTAAAATGGCCATAAGCTCATTAAGCGTGTCTTTGTGTTGTATTGGGTGTACATTTTTGTTGTATTCGGCTGTAAAAATGATGTTTTTATCATTAAGGTATATAAGGTTAATAGGTGCAAGGTAATTACTGTGTCGAAGTGAAATTTCTTTTAATTATTAAAGGACACTTTGACAGTAATTGGTTGCAAATATCGATCTTAAGTCGTTTGAAGCCAAATGTAGGTTCAACTATGAATTTTGAAATTCTTGTTGGTTGTCTAAGCTACGTTTTCGAGAAACTTATGTTTGCTCTTAAAAGTTATGCTGACAGGCCTGCAAAGTATTTATTTATAAAGTAATTATAAATTATAATATTTGTATTTATTATAGAACATTTCGTTTAATGTTGCCGTACATTTCACGCAACTTTTATTAGCTCCACCATAGTGTCAGACAACATTTGGCTCACACAAGAACGCATCAACGGAAATGTATTTAAATACTTAGTTTAAGGTGCATTATTATAGTTTTATGAGCGAGATATGCCTCGGAAGTATTAAACTGTACGTGTAAAATAAATAGTTGTGGACAAATTAACGATGTACATTACTGTACGACCTTCGCATAGTACTTGGTGCATTGTATCCTTTGTCGTTTCTTACTCTTTTGCCATTATGTAGAGCTAACACTTTGCCTTAATTGTCTCAATGTAGGGAATTTTTTTATCAGTTCTTTTAAAACGTAGCTTTTATTTCAATATTTTTGCACACAGCTACCTTCGCTTCTTTTTTAAATTATCAAGTATTTACTGTAAAT